GTCGTGGGCGGCTTCTCTATATGCTGTGGGTGGTCTGTGGAAATTAGGTCTGGGTCTCAGCCCAGCTTGTGGCGTGGTGTCTCCTGCATGAAAACCACAACTGCCTATGTGTTCTCCCTATATAGGACGGCTGGCCCAAGAGCTGAATGACTCAAATCACATTCCTCTTGCTTGGTGTGCGGCTGATGTAACGCAGAGCTGTGAAGCCAGTTTGGCCGCGACTGCCTGGTGTGCCCCTATGTTCCTAGACGGAGCATAAGCTCTTATTGCAAAAAGGATCCTCCTAACGTCAAAAAAAATGGTGTAGACTTTGTGTCCCATTTTAATTCCAAGGGGAAGATCCTTGCATTTCTCTTTCTACTGGTAGGGCCACTTCCAGAAGCACACAAGAAACTTTTCTTGGCGTTTGTCCCAGCATCTTTTATTGGCAGAGCCGATCCCTCGGGAGCAGGAGGTTCTTCTCCTTCTCCTCCCAAGCATGACTGCGAGACATTTTGTGAGTTTTTCTGATCCTTAGTGGCAGTGACAGCCTCTCATGATAGCGAAGTAGGTAACTATACCTGGATCCATGCACTTAGAGCTGTGATTCCCAACCATCGGTCACCCAGGTGTTCTTGGACTGCAACTCCCAGAAACACAGCTGATGGTGAAGGCTTCTGGGAGTTGCAGTCCAAGAACACGTGGGTGACCGACGGTTGGGAATCACTGCCTTTAGCGTATCAGCCACTTGAAATCAGTGTGACTAGTGAGCCCGGAGTTTTGTGTCTTTAATGTCGGTCAGTGGATTGTGGTGTGTGATTATGTCTGGATCCAAAGCCATGCTTGGTAGGATGTTATGCCTCTAGTAAAACCTAACACTTGGTGCTCACCGGTTTATTTTTGTGCCACATCTCTGCTGCATTAGGACGGGTATTAGAAGCAAAATGGCCCACTGGAATTTGCATTAAACCCGCTCGGTTCTTTCTTACCTCTGTTGTCTTACTTTCAAAAGGCTCCACCAGTGGGACAGAGTACAAAGGAGGACCCTTTTCCCAGAGCTGTGCCCCCGATTTCCCCTGCACTAGTTCTCCTGTATGGAGAACTAGTGCAGGGAAATTGCCCCCAGAGGGAGACCACAGCTGCGATACAGGGAGACCTGCAAGCAGGATCTGAAGGCCTCAACAGATGGGAAACCCTGACCTCTGAGCGTTCAGCCTGGAGGCAGGCGGTGCATCACGGCCTCTCCCAATTGGAAGAGACCCTTGTCCAGCAGGCCGAGGCAAAGAGGCAGTCATGAACCCAGCAAAATCAGGGAACTGGACAGGGGACAGACTGTATTTGTCTTCAGTGTGGAAGGGATGCCATATATGCCCCCGAGAGTCCCAGACGTTGGTGCCTTTCCTCCCTAAACAAATACCCTTTGAGCTGGCCACTATAATAGCTTCCAAGCATCAAGAGCAGATGCCTAAGGATGTTGCTTCCTTTCCCAATTACTGTTTTCTTTACATGTCATTTAAGCTGCAGTCTTTTTACTCACTGAGGAGTACAATACTTAATTTTTCCTTCTTCACTTATCTTCTGTTATTCTTTCCATCTTGAAGAATCTGCTTATTGATTTATAGTAATTTCTTCTTTATCTTGTTATATTTATATATTTTTTTATTTGTTTGGAAGCTGCCTAGAGTGGTTGTAATGACCAGATAGGCGGGGTATAAAATAAATAAAATAAATAAATAAATACACCTCTTTGAATTCCGTAGGTGTTCCTTTTGAATGGATATGTATGCATGATGGCATGGATGGATTGTAATCCCGCAATCAGAAACTCCAGTTTTCTTACCCAGTTTGTGAAAAAGCCTGTTGGAACACTTTTATCTGAAGAGTGGGGCGACCATGTTTTAAATAAGACCCTGAAACCCCCTAAATCTCCCCATACCAAGTCTGCATTCTTCTGCTTCTGTACAGATCAGGATTTTAAAAATAATTTTTGCAAGAAATCCTTGAGTCTTGTTGGGTTTCTGGAGGGGAGCATTTATAATGAGAATACAAGGACGTCTACCTTTGTAATAATGCCTCTGTGCTTACGGACAATAGGGCAGAGTCCTCGGGCAGCTAGCTGATTTGGGGTGTCACCGAAAACTATCCAATTAGGAATTGTTTAATTTTTTCTCCCCCCCCCCCCGCCAATGACCTCAGGGTTTCCAAATATCTCCACTGGCCTTGATAAAGATGCCATTTGCTTATCTTGCCTTGGGAACCATGTCGTCTGCTTGGCTGACTCAGGCAGCAGAAATGATGGGGCGGGCTTATTTGTGCATCCTTAGGCGCATGAGTCATGAGGATCACTGGCTGCAACCTTACCCAATCTTTGATGATTTTATGCCTCTCAGTCTTTCTCCTTCACCAAGATCCCCCCCCCCTTCACGGTTAAGTCATGCAGCATTCATTTGATTCCAGGGCTCCCTCCACATTTCTGCCGGTTGATATTTAGATCACAGCAGACTGTTCCTAGAGTAGCAGATTTTTCTTTCTTCTTCTTGAAGGAGAGAACCTTCCTTTCCCGTCCTTTAGAACAGGATGTCCTCCTTCCACCACATTTTTTTTCAGGCAGTCCCTGAACCCTTGAGAGAATAAACTATCTCAACTCTCAAAGGGGAATTTCAAGCATGCTTCTGTTCAATAATGCAATATTCAACGGGATTATTTATTTATTTATTTATTTTTGTATCATTCAGGAAATTTCTGCTTATGAAATAATCGGGGAACCGATTTGACTTGGATGTGAAAGAGGGGGGAAAAAACAGCCAGAGAAGAGCTACGGTGATTCCTGAGCCACTAGTATGCCATGGATGTTTTAGCAGCAGTAAATAGATTCAAGATGTTTAGGGAAACCTATGGGGTGGGGCCAGTTGGATTTTCTGCGTGTTTGAGGGTGAATCTGAGCTGCTCCTGGGAATGATACGCACCCCCCCCGGTGCTCTCCATGGCATTGTTGGCACCCAAAAACTGCTGTTTTTGAAGTGGGTGCTGCCTGCGCTGCAATGCAGACGAGTTGCAAATGACAGCTCATTTTTGAGAGCCCTCGTGCGTTTCAGATTGACGGAATCCCACCCCCTCCCTCCCTAGAAAACCCTTTCTTTTTATTCAGAAGAATCAGATTTTTATGAATGGACAGCTGTCAGGTCTCTCCATTGGCTCTTTGTGTGATCAGTCATTTACCCAGGACGTTTTCCCCCACGGTATTGAGGAAAAACATCTCAATTTCACTCCAGTTTTATTACTGTCGGCTTCCTGCCGCCCATCCGGGCTCGTTTGTTCTCCTAAATCCCGTTTCGTAAAACTTGTGCGGAGTATCTTTCTGCAAGCCCTTCCGTTTTGCTTAGGATGTTCAGGTTTTGAAACGGGCAGCTCTCTCGGACGTCATTTTTTGAATCTGTGCAGTTCCTCGGAGCCCTGTGGCTTCGGTTTCCCCTTCTTCGTGGCTCAAAGCATGTGGCACACGCTCAGAAAGCAGGAACAACTGGTAGTTCCTTTTTTGTACACAGGGTTAAGGGACCGAAGCGACTCCTCCAGGAGTGAGGACTGCGGTCCCCTGAACTGGAGACGCCCGTGTGGCCTCATTTGCCTTTCAGAAGAAGCACAGGGCAAGAAACCTAGGGCCACATTTCCTGCTGGACTCAGGGAGGGAGCGGTTGGCTTGAAGGCGGAAGCCACCGGCCATCCTTCCCCATAAACCCGTAGAAGAAGCAAGATGCTCCATTTCTGGCACCAGGCACAACCGGGCACAGGTGTGACCTTGGCTTTTATCTGAGAGCACACACTTCAGAGATGGTCTTGCTTTCAGTCATTACATCCAGTTTTCTTCCAGAGTCTTCTAGGCTTCGTTTTTGATAGCCAGATGTTTACAGGTGGCAATTTTTCAGCGTCATAGAACGGAATGTAGTATATTTATTTAAAATATTTATATGCCGTCTTTCTCCACATGGATCCAAGGCTGCTTATGGTATTTTAAAAAAGAAGTTAAAAGCTAAATAATAAATGATTGCAATATTATTAAAAAGCATTAAATGGATATATTTTAAACACTTACATTTTTACATATTCGCAAAGGCTTTCATGGCCGGGATCGATCATTTTAAACACTTACATTTTTTCGTATTCGCGAAGGCTTTCATGGCCGGGATCAAATGGTTGTTGTAGGTTTTTTGGGCTCTTTGGCCGTGTTCTGAAGGTTGTTCTTCCTAACATTTTACCAGTCTCTGTGGCCAGCATCTTCAGAGGAACAGGAGTGGGAACTCTGTCCATGCTCTGGAGTCCATGTTCTGTCCGTGCTCTTGAGTTCCTACTCCTGTTTCCTCTGAAGATGCCCATGGTCACAGAGACTGGCAAAATGTTAGGAAGAACAAGCTTCAGAACACGGCCAAAGAGCCCAAAAAACCCACAACAGCCATTACATCCCCCCCTTATGATCCTCCTCATTGTTATCCCCAGCACTGTAGTTTATTCTTTCTTACCTCTTCTTCTTCTTGCCACCACATGGCCACAGAGAAGGCCTCAAACCTGCAAATACATGGAAATATCCTAGGAAGCGCATTCTCATGGGAAATGCACGCTGAGTCCTCTCCCCACGAGGCAAAATGTTTGCACAGTTGAACTGGTTCTTTTCTGGGGTTTGTCTTTCTTTCTTCCTTCCTTCCTCTTTATATTTCTTTCTCTCTCACTCTCTTTCAACTTCCTTCCTTTCTCTCTCTTTAAATTTCTTTCTCTCTCTCTCTCTTTCAATTTCCTTCCTTCCTTCCTCTTTAAATTTCTTTCCTTCTTTCTCTCTCTCTCTCTCTTTCAATTTCTTTCCCCACACTCTCTCTCTTTCAATTTCCTTCCTTCCTTCCTCTTTAAATTTCTTTCCTTCTTTCTCTCTCTCTCTCTCTTTCAATTTCCTTCCACCCACCCACCCATCCATAACGTGTACTTTTTTCTACTTGCTGGAGAGATGAATTGCCCAAGGATTAAATTTTCTTCCCTTCTTTTTAATATGCAGTGACTAGAACGGTATGCGTTCCTCAAAGCCTCCTTCCACCGCAGGTGGGTGAAAGAGCACTGCGGGCTTGGCCATTTTATTTTCAGCGGAATTTCTTCTGCCCCAGCGTGGAATTTGCTGAAGACAGGGAAACCTCACTGGCCAAAATACAAGCAAGAGGAGCCAAAGGCAGCAGCGTGTGTGGCCTTGCCGCTTAAACATTTCCCGGCGCCTGGAGGGGTGGAGATGGAGGCTGGAATCTTTCTCTCAAAATATCCCCGCATCCCATATGCATGAATGTCTAATTTGTTTCTTTAATGTGCATCAGAAAATGCATCAGACATGCTGCACTAGAGAATATAATAATGTTAGGAAAAGTTGAAAGCAATAGGAAAAGGGAAATACCTAAGATGAGTGGATTGAGTGGGTCACCATAAATCAGAAATTACTTCTGGATGGGCGCATTTCAGGCCTTGCTGTTGATAATGTAACGTATTGTGGGCATTATATAGCAACAGGGCTTCTTTGGCTGTGACGCCAATACTCTGAAATGCCCACCCTTGCCATCATATGCTTGCCACTGTCTGAAAAAAACCCTGGCTGCCCCATAAAATAGCTCCTCCTGTGATCCCTATTGGGAATTACGTTGCATTCCCATTAAATGCTTAGTCAAGTTTCTGTTCCCTCCTTAGCTGCTTTGGGTTCCCCTGGCAGAAGAAAAGCAGGATTGGGGGGGGGGATCAAAATGCCTAACATAGACAATAAGTTACATAAGTGTGCGGTCCGTGCCATTTTTGAATGCTGTACAGTGCTTGAGCTACTCCTGTTGTATCACTACTAGGGCCACCTTTTGAGTTTCTCGGCACTCCCAGAAGACATTGGTCACCGAAGAATGGTGCTCTGTTACGTGGTCGTTGGTTTATTTCATGTTCCCACAACGGCACCTTCTTTCCCCTTTTGCATCTGTGTCAGGAAGGAGGGCAAGTCCCCAGAAAGTTGCTGTGCCTTGCGCTCGAGCCTCTCCTTGCTGCAGCAACATCAGCAGCAACATCTGCCGTTGCCCACGGCCGGTACAATTCTATGGAAATGACAGCATGATCCTAGGGGCAAGAGAAATGTGGAAGGAAGCAGTGCAGAGGAGGAAAGCATTGGTCTTCAAATGAGTTAGGCTCACACTTTCTCCCCTTAGCTTTCACGGTGTAGCTCTCCAGGTCTACGTGGCTGTTGCATTCTTCATAAGTTTCAAAGGAATCAAGATGAAGGTTCTTTTGGTGCACATTTGAGCTGACAGCCCAACAAATTCAACCCTAAAAGGCTTCCTTAATCTGCCTGTTACCTCTTTCACCTGGTCATGTCTCATCCAACGGGTGGTGGCTCTCCAAGGCCTCCAGGCTGAACGTCTCCCAGCCTGCTGCCTGAGATATATTTAGCCAGGGATGCCCAAGAATTGAGCCCTAGGACTTGTTTCATGGAGCTCTGTATTCTGCAATGCCCTCTGTGCAAAATAAAGTCTGGGCCCGATTTCCAAATGGTACCTTCCTTGCTTGGGGCCACGTGGCTAGCACCCGTGTCATCTTGTGTTTCTGCTCAGGTGGGAGACCACAAATTCAGCGCCCACCGGATTGTCCTGGCCGCCTCCATCCCTTACTTCCACGCCATGTTCACCAACGACATGATGGAATGCAAGCAAGATGAGATTGTCATGCAGGGCCTGGATCCGAGGTAAAGGGGAGGCTTTGGGTATGGTTCAAGGGGTGTTTTTGTTAGTCATGCAAGCTGGTCAAATGTTCCTTTCCCCTCTGCAATAGCTTAGTCACAAGAAGCCACTGAAAGCAGCTTGCATGGACCGTCTGTATAACCTGTACAGCCCCTCAGTTGTTCTGATGCTATTTCTCGGGATGTTTTCAGATGAAATGTATTGTTCATCTTCCTTCTTTCACATTTATAAAGGGAGGGCAACCTGTCCTGATGGGCAGCCCTTCTGTCTCTTCCCATCCCTCTTTTTTTGCTTTTATGCATGCACTTATTGATGCTCCCCAGCTGTTCCCCCCCCTCGTCTTCCTCTGAAGTGCGTTCGGGACGCAAAGGCAGAATGACCGCAGAATGCCTTTGGATTGGTCATGCTAGGTGCCATCGATCCAGAGTCTTAACTCATCTCTTGAGATTGTAGGGGACATACTTATCACAAACCCTTGAGAGAGGGAAAGTCAGTAATTGGTTTTATAAAGGAAAGATGGTTAGATCTTAAGAGTAGTGCCCAATGGGGACATTTCTCTGTGTGTAAAATTTTGTTCTGGTCTAATGGCTTTGGAAAACAGTTTTAATGACAGTAATAAGGTACTGCTCGCTTTTTATCCGCTTTCTTATATATGTTTTCAGTGTGTAAGCAGAGTCTGGAAACATGACATGCTTTATTCCTGGCAGCCTGGAATCTTTGGCAGGAGCCTATGAGTCAACCCAGACCTTGTCAGAAGCCGAACCCTCTCTCTCTTCCCTATCTTGTACTGTTTCGAAGGGGTTAGCAAGACGTGAAGCACCAACTGACACTTTCCTACCACTCTCTTCTCCCCCACCCCCCAACCTAGTGCCCTGGAAGCACTGATCAACTTTGCCTACAATGGACATTTGGCCATCGACCAGCAGAATGTCCAGTCCTTGCTGATGGGTGCCAGCTTTCTGCAGCTGCAGAACATCAAGGATGCCTGCTGCTCTTTCCTCAGAGAGAGGTGAGGGACTGGTATGTTTTCCATTGGCTAAACTATATAGACTCTAGAGAGAAAGGAGAGAAAGAGAGAGAGAGAGCAAGCAAGCAAGACAGGAGCCAATAGATGTAATATAGTAAACATCAAACAGAGAGTCACTGCAGTGTAGTGGACAGAGTGAGAGATTAGGACTTGAGAGACCTGGATTCAAATCTCTGCTCGGCCATGGACTTTTGCTTCTGAGGGCCCTGGTAAAATATCCTTAAATATGTTGCATACCATGAACATCTTAGTAGAGCTGCCATAAGTCAGATGCCACTTGGCAGCAGGCAGCAGTGTAACAAGCATAAATAACTCAAGACCTATTTTTAGCACCCTCAAAAAAATCATTGTGTTGGAGACCTGCGCAATGCCACCTCGTTGTAAGGTTTCGGCCCTGGGTGTGGAAGGTGAGGCTGCCTTTTTGGCTGTTGCCTCTCCCTTTCCCTGTAAAGCATGTTCCCGGATTTTACCATGTATAAAACAATATTTTTCCCTAAAATCGTTAGAGGGAAAAAATTGAGGGGCATCTTAAACATGGAAGGAGGCGAAGGAGGAGCTGCGCTTGGCTGCCTCTCGTGGTTGCCCATGGACCACCGGTGCCGGATAACCTCCTCCAGCGCCCCTTGCGGGCTCCCTTCAGGCATGGGACAAGGCGGCAGCATAAGCTGGAGGAGGCGATCGGGCGGTGGCGGGAGCCACCAGCGGGCAACTGCGAGAGGGGTCAACCCTGGCTGCTTCTGTTTCCTTCTGCCGCCACCGCCCCGTGACCACCTTCTCCAGCGCCCCTCGCGGGGCTCCCCGCCTTGTCCCTTGCCTGAAGGGAGCCCATGAGGGGCGCTGGAGGAGGTGATCATGCAGTGTTGGCGGCAGCAGTCCGTGGGGCGCCACGAGGGGCGGCCTAGCGCGGTTGCTCCTTCACCTCCGCCAAGTGTCAACATTGGGGCTCGTCTTATACAGTTCCTGCCCACCTAACCGTTTGAAAGCATGTGAAAAATGCAAGTAAATAAATAGGGACCACCTCGGTGGGAAGGTCACGACGTTCCGTGTCTACTTGTGCTGGCCACGTGACCACGGAAACTGTCTATGGACAAACGCTGGCTCTACAGCTTGGAGACACAAGGTTTCTCTACAAGGTAACAGGCTGTGACCAAATTAAAGGGCAGACCTTTCCGCCTTACAGGGCGGAAAAATTGTGGTTTTGGCAATGTGAAACTCAACGGCTGGACCAGGAAAGGGTAAAAACATCAGGTGAACATGGGCTGCGAGCCCTGTTTAAGTCTGACATGCAAATGAACACCTCTTTTATCCTGTTCTCAAGTTCTACACTTTTCCACTGAGACCCAGAACTTACAAAAGTTTCCCTTTTTTTGGACTGCCTCCAGAGTCATGCAGCCAACATAGTGGTAACCAAAAAAAAAAAAAAAAAAAGAAGCCTTTCAAAGGATTGTCCTGGCCGCCTCCATCCCTTACTTCCACGCCATGTTCACCAATGACATGATGGAATGCAAGCAAGATGAGATTGTCATGCAGGGCCTGGATCCGAGGTAAAGGGGAGGCTTTGGGTATGGTTCAAGGGGTGTTTTTGTTAGTCATGCAAGCTGGTCAAATATTCCTTTCCCCTCTGCAATAGCTTAGTCACAAGAAACCACTGAAAGCAGGTTGCATGGACCGTCTGTATAACCTGTACAGCCCCTCAGTTGTTCTGATGCTATTTCTCGGGATGTTTTCAGATGAAATGTATTGTTCATCTTCCTTCTTTCACATTTATAAAGGGAGGGCAACCTGTCCTGATGGGCAGCCCTTCTGTCTCTTCCCATCCCTCTTTTTTTGCTTTTATGCATGCACTTATTGATGCTCCCCAGCTGTTCCCCCCCCTCGTCTTCCTCTGAAGTGCGTTCGGGACGCAAAGGCAGAATGACCGCAGAATGCCTTTGGATTGGTCATGCTAGGTGCCATCGATCCAGAGTCTTAACTCATCTCTTGAGATTGTAGGGGACATACTTATCACAAACCCTTGAGAGAGGGAAAGTCAGTAATTGGTTTTATAAAGGAAAGATGGTTAGATCTTAAGAGTAGTGCCCAATGGGGACATTTCTCTGTGTGTAAAATTTTGTTCTGGTCTAATGGCTTTGGAAAACAGTTTTAATGACAGTAATAAGGTACTGCTCGCTTTTTATCCGCTTTCTTATATATGTTTTCAGTGTGTAAGCAGAGTCTGGAAACATGACATGCTTTATTCCTGGCAGCCTGGAATCTTTGGCAGGAGCCTATGAGTCAACCCAGACCTTGTCAGAAGCCGAACCCTCTCTCTCTTCCCTATCTTGTACTGTTTCGAAGGGGTTAGCAAGACGTGAAGCACCAACTGACACTTTCCTACCACTCTCTTCTCCCCCACCCCCCAACCTAGTGCCCTGGAAGCACTGATCAACTTTGCCTACAATGGACATTTGGCCATCGACCAGCAGAATGTCCAGTCCTTGCTGATGGGTGCCAGCTTTCTGCAGCTGCAGAACATCAAGGATGCCTGCTGCTCTTTCCTCAGAGAGAGGTGAGGGACTGGTATGTTTTCCATTGGCTAAACTATATAGACTCTAGAGAGAAAGGAGAGAAAGAGAGAGAGAGAGCAAGCAAGCAAGACAGGAGCCAATAGATGTAATATAGTAAACATCAAACAGAGAGTCACTGCAGTGTAGTGGACAGAGTGAGAGATTAGGACTTGAGAGACCTGGATTCAAATCTCTGCTCGGCCATGGACTTTTGCTTCTGAGGGCCCTGGTAAAATATCCTTAAATATGTTGCATACCATGAACATCTTAGTAGAGCTGCCATAAGTCAGATGCCACTTGGCAGCAGGCAGCAGTGTAACAAGCATAAATAACTCAAGACCTATTTTTAGCACCCTCAAAAAAATCATTGTGTTGGAGACCTGCGCAATGCCACCTCGTTGTAAGGTTTCGGCCCTGGGTGTGGAAGGTGAGGCTGCCTTTTTGGCTGTTGCCTCTCCCTTTCCCTGTAAAGCATGTTCCCGGATTTTACCATGTATAAAACAATATTTTTCCCTAAAATCGTTAGAGGGAAAAAATTGAGGGGCATCTTAAACATGGAAGGAGGCGAAGGAGGAGCTGCGCTTGGCTGCCTCTCGTGGTTGCCCATGGACCACCGGTGCCGGATAACCTCCTCCAGCGCCCCTTGCGGGCTCCCTTCAGGCATGGGACAAGGCGGCAGCATAAGCTGGAGGAGGCGATCGGGCGGTGGCGGGAGCCACCAGCGGGCAACTGCGAGAGGGGTCAACCCTGGCTGCTTCTGTTTCCTTCTGCCGCCACCGCCCCGTGACCACCTTCTCCAGCGCCCCTCGCGGGGCTCCCCGCCTTGTCCCTTGCCTGAAGGGAGCCCAAGAGGGGCGCTGGAGGAGGTGATCATGCAGTGTTGGCGGCAGCAGTCCGTGGGGCGCCACGAGGGGCGGCCTAGCGCGGTTGCTCCTTCACCTCCGCCAAGTGTCAACATTGGGGCTCGTCTTATACAGTTCCTGCCCACCTAACCGTTTGAAAGCATGTGAAAAATGCAAGTAAATAAATAGGGACCACCTCGGTGGGAAGGTCACGACGTTCCGTGTCTACTTGTGCTGGCCACGTGACCACGGAAACTGTCTATGGACAAACGCTGGCTCTACAGCTTGGAGACACAAGGTTTCTCTACAAGGTAACAGGCTGTGACCAAATTAAAGGGCAGACCTTTCAAAAATTTCCCTTTTTTGGACCGCCTCCAGAGTCATGCAGCCAGCATAGTGGTAACAAAAAAAAGGAACCTTTCCAAGGCCTGCTTATTCCTCCCGAGAGAAGGCGGCACAGGAAAGGGGTAACAAAGAAAAGAGGGGCTGAGGGTGTCATGGCTAAAAAGCAACTTCATAAAACTGTGTGGAGTATTAAACTAGCTTCTAATTTAAGAGGTGGAAATGTGGGCTCTTTGGACTAAAATTCCAGAATGGGAAAGCCAGTGGCCACACCAGCTACCGTATTTAATTCTGAGAGCAATAGTCCAGAAACCAGAGGTTTTACATCTTTCATTGATAACAGATGTTGATATGAACCTGTGTTTGGCCCCAGAAGGTTTCCCCATACTGAAAAATAAGCCTATCCCTGCACATACAAAACCTAGCCCGTGAAAGACTGAGTTAATTTGTTGAAAGTCTTACTGTTTCATTTTGGTTCTTCGCCTGACCTCCATTGGAAGCGTATCATCAAAAATATAGGGTTGTGTTGTATGTTGTGTGGATATGAGCTTAAGGCGGGGTTCTGGGATTTAGGGTTTGTTATGAGGGTGTGTATGTGTTTTTGGTCTGGTCTCTGAGTGTTCTTTGTGAATTTCGTTGTATGTGTATACGGTGTATATACATTCAATAACAATAAATTGAAATTGAATTGAAATCTAGTTCTCCCCACTTTTGTACTTTCTTTATGGGGTGGCTCAGCTACTGCACTTCTGGATGGACTAATGCACCACTGGATGAGACAAACGTCTTATTTCCCTAGCTCTGCCTGTTGGCAATGAAAAACAGTCAGGTGTTAAGACTTTCCCTTATCCCCCTACTCATTGCCTCAGAAGCAGAGATGAAGCACCTGATGGAAATTACATAACTTTGGTATGTTAATGTAGCGTGTCTGAGTTCCATAATGAGAGTATCTGTTGGCATCTAAGTGCTTTGTGTATGGGCAGCCAAAACCTGCTGGCTGCTTATGGGCTGAATGTGCTTTTGGAATTACTTAACTCTGCCAACTGCTTCCAAAATAGTTTGGGAGAAATTGTTTCTTCCAAAAGAAATGGATAGCTAAAAGAAAGAAAGGGAGCCTTGACGTCGGCCAAGCTGTTGACCCTTACCGCATCCTCTTTAAAGGCTCCACCCAAAGAACTGCCTGGGGGTGCGCCAGTTTGCCGAAACCATGATGTGCGCTGTACTCTACGACGCTGCCAACAGCTTCATTCACCAGCACTTCGTGGAGGTCTCCATGTCGGAGGAGTTTCTGGCCTTGTCCTTTGAGGACGTCGCGGAGCTGGTTGCGCGGGACGAGCTCAACGTCAAGTTAGAGGAGCAGGTCTGTTCCCCCTCCGAGCGTGGGTTGCTTTTTGTTTCTTCCTTCGCGTTGCGCTAAAGAATGCTCGAGGCAGCTGATCGGCGAAATGGCAAAAAGCAAAGCCTGCCCCATCATGAACCGCCTCATCATGCTTAAAGCCTTCTCTGGGTGGTTTAGAATTTAAGTATGAAGGCTGCTTGTTGCCGCTACCTCCCCCTTTCCTCCCCCAATAAGCTGGGTACTAAATTGACCGATCTCGGAAGGATGGAAGGCTGAGCCAATCCTGAGCCAGCTACCTGGGCCCGTTGGGATTGAACTCAGGTTGTGAGCAGGGTCTTGATTGCAGGACTGCAGTTGATCTACTGTGCTTGGAGGCTCCTAGAACAATATCACGTTGTTCTACTATTTTACTTACTATTTAAAAATATCTTACTATTTTTTTTAAAAAAACAGTGAAAGCATTGCAGAGCTGCTGTGAGGAGAGCAGGAAAATCATAAAGATGGACCAAAGGCCTGGTCAGCCAAAGGTCTTTTTTTTTAATGGCAGAAAGTAAGCAAATAAGAAGCATAGCCTCCTGGAGTAGGGGGTTCCAAAATATTGGGAACTGTCACAGACATGGTTCTGTGATGGGTTCCCTCCAGTCCTGCTGCTGATGATGGCAAGGTGCATGAAGGGCATCTCCATTGAGTCTAGTCAACATACAGGCTCCTATTGTTGTTTAGTCGTTTAGTCGTGTCCGACTTTTCGTGACCCCATGGACCAGAGCATGCCAGGCCCTCCTGTCTTCCACTGCCTCCCGGAGTTGGGTCAAAGTCATGTTGGTCGCTTCGATGACCCTGTCCAACCATCTCGTCCTCTGTCGTCCCCTTCTCCTCTTGCCTTCACACTCTCCCAACATCAGGGGCTTTTCCAAGGAGTCTTCTCTTCTCATGAGATGGCCGAAGTATTGGAGCCTCAGCTTCAGGATCTGTCCTTCCAGGGAGCACTCAGGGTTGATTTCCTTCAGAATGGATCGGTTTGTTCTCCTTGCAGTCCAGGGGACTACCGAGCGCCTCCTCCAACACTACATGGCTCCTATAGGCAGAACATATTTCTGAAACCTTGTTCAGAAAATAAGATCCGTGTTGGACTAGACCCTGAGTCTGTCCCGTCTCTGTTCCCACGGGGACCAGTCATTTGCCCATGGGGAGCCCTCCTGTGGGATCCCCAGTTTCCTGTTCCATAAGTACTGATGAACAGATGCGTTGTGCCTGATCCTGGAGGTTCTGGCTAGCAGCCATTGATCGCTCGATGCCCTATGAAGTTATGGCATTCCCCTTTAAAGCTCTCCAGCTTGGGGCCCTGGGCTTCTGCCTTTGAACTCCATGCTGCTTAGCACAACCCATCTCCAGTGATTTATTATTTGTTTTATTTATTATTTATACCTCACCTTTCTCCTTTAAAAGGACCCTATTCCATACATTTTTTCCCAAGCGACCGGATGTAGTTCTAGACGAACAGTGGAAGAGATAAAAGCAAAACTAATTTCCTAAGAAGGTGATGATAACACAGCTCGTAGGCAACTTAAAGGTTGCTGCAATGCATTCTGTATTTATCCAGTGTTAAATTTTAAGATATTCTTTCACGTTGTAAAATGTTCTCCCCATTATGAATTTCCTTACCCCACAGAACTTATGATGAGTTGAGACTGAGAAAGGTTTCAAAAATGCCCATAACTTGCATTTATTCCAGTAAGCCACAAAGAATGAGCAGCAGAGCAGGATCAAAGCTGGCCCATTCTCGTTGTACAAAGAGCCTTCGTACCAGAGAGGTTTGGCAACGGGAAGATGTGTAAATGAAATATAGACATTCTGGGAAATTCGGTACATGTGCCTAAAATTTAGGCATTTAACAAATTGCAGACCTCTGGGTGTCCCATAGGTGAGTGTTTAATTATCCATCTTAATGAGCATACAGACAGCCTTCATCGTTTATGGATTGCTGCTCTTAGTCTTGGCTGTAGTTTGGTAATGGCAGTAATGAAGGAAGGAAGACCGGGGTTTTTTAAGTTTAACCTCTGCCTTTTAAGTTTAATATTTACCTGAAGAGTCTTGGGAAGACTGCACACAATTAGCATCTCTACTTCACAAGAAAGTTGTAAACGGTACTGCAGTCTACCCCAAGCCCGGGACAGATTGCTGTTTCAGCAACATAGCATGTTTCGTTCAGAATTTAGCATATAAAATTGTACGTTGGCGTATTTGTGACAGGCAAAAATATTTCTTGAGTTTTAAAGGAATCATGGCACGTATACCTTATACTGAAAAGAGAGCTGTCTAGAAAAAAAAAGCAAGAAGGAACTTTGTAATGAACTGTTATATCGGAATAGCAACAATCCTGCTACTTGTCTGTACCAGCAGAGGTCACTGGAAGAAAGTGAGCAGCAATTCATAAGCAGTTAAGGCTGGCTCTATGTTCAGAAAGATGGGAGCGCTCACCAGACACAAAAAATATACATATAATGGACTGGAGAGTCAGATCTGTCCACCGCCTCTACTAGTTTTCTAATTCTACAGGCTGTCTTGCGTAAAATGGCTTTTTAAGTGAGCCAAACATCTTAAAAAAGATTTCCACACATTCCAAAAGAGAAAATTCTTTATTGGAGAGGGTTTTTTTTTTCTAGGCCATTCTCTTGCCCTGGGAGAGGGGAATCTTTTAGAAAACGAGGGTCTTCCTCACCCTCTCATTTTTCCTTTCCCTCCCCCCCAGGCCTTCATACCATTGTTCGGGGAGAAGGGTGCCCATATGCTCGCCGTGGAATTCAAAGTCTGAATGGGGGATAAGGAGCAGCAAGGCAAAGACCTGCAGAGGCCCTCCCCCCTCTGGGGATACCCTGTCCTAGAAATCTCCCTGACCAGCTCCCTGTCCCTCTTCCGACAGGTCTTTGAAGCTGCCATGGCCTGGATGAGGTACGACCGCGAGCACCGAGAGCACTACTTGCCGGAGCTCCTCTCCAAAATCCGCCTGCCGCTCTGCCGGCCCCAGTTCCTGGCCGACCGCGTGCAACAGGACGACCTGGTCCGCTCTTGCCACAAGTGCAGGTGGGAGGCTCGTGCTGGGATGGGGGAGGAGGAGAAAGGCGCCCCCTGCCGCGGCGAGGCAGGCACGGCGCCCGCAGACTTCGGATCTCTTTTCTGCCACGCAGGCAGAGTTAAGCAGAAAGCACAGGGTGCTGCTTCTAGACTGCCCCATCGTGTTTAAAGCACTCTGTGGGTGGTTTGCAGATCGATGATGCAGGCTAGACATGCCCCCCCCTCCAACGAGCTGGGTGCTCAGTTTAGCGACCTGGGAGGGATGGGCGGCTGAGCTGACCTGGAGCAGGCTACTGGAGTCTGTCACGATCAAACTCAGGCCATGAGCAGAGTCTTGACAGCCTGGGAGCAGCCACTGAGAAGGCCCTGTGCTGACCGACCCTCTCTCCCTCCCCCCCCCCACTAGTGGGATTTCACATCCGGACACCTTCGTCGTACATTTCTGTCGGCACGTTTTCTTCCTGTGCCATTGTTACCATCTTAATTTCCATGTTGTGCTCACGCGGCTGTCCTCTTTGTGGCTCGGCCTCTTGGTTCTTAGGGATCTGGTGGACGAAGCAAAAGACTATCATCTCATGCCGGAGCGCCAACCGCACCTCCCGGCTTTCAAAACCCGCCCCCGTTGCTGTACCTCCATCGCAGGCCTGATCTATGCCGTGGGAGGCCTCAACTCAGCAGGTATCTTTCAGTTCAGTTGCTTGTTGGGGGGGGGGGAAATGCATGCTGGGAAAGGGTGCAAAGACACACCTTTGGAGGTGCCTGAACCCTCGGATTCAGGCTTCCTGTTTTAATAACGTCAGCTGCCTTGGGTCCTTTTCAAGGAGAAAGGTTGGGTAAAAATATTTAAAATAAATAAATCATAGAATCATAGAATAGTAGGGTTGAAAGGGCCTCATCAGGCCATCGAAACCAACCCCCTGCTGAAGCCAGGAATCACAAATCGAAGGGCTGTCCAATTTTCTCTTGAATTCCTCCACCATTGGAGCGCTCACCGCCTCCCCCTGAGGTCACGAATTCCGTTGTCGTACTGCTCTGACAGTTAAGGGATTTATCCTGATACTCAGTCAAAATCTGGCTTCCTGTCACTTGAGCCCATTATGACATATCCTGCACTCTGGGATGATCGAGAGCAGATCCTGCCCCTTCTCTGTAGGGCTACTTTTCAAGTATTTGAAGAGGGCTATCCTATCTCTTTAAGGGGCGTGGTGGCGCTGTGGGCTAAACCGCAGAAGCCTCTGGGCTGCAGGGTTAGAAGACCAGCAGTCGTAAGATCGAATCCACGTGACGGCAATTTGTGAGCCTCCTCCTTGAAGGGTGGTGTCCAGAACTGTGCACAGGATTCCAGAGAAAGTCTAAACAGTTCTGAAAAGAGGGGGATTTGTACCTCGGGGGATCTCTCTTTCCCCGCAGTAAATATTGTGGGGGAAGAGAGAAGCGGTATGTGATATTTCATGCACGTCGCAGTCCTCGATGGGTCTTTTGACACCTGGCAGGCTAAATGCACCTAGAATTCTGTTCCTTTGCTGATTAGATTAAGCGAGAGAGAGAGAGAGAGACTTCCATATGTTCTTGTACTGCATTCTTGATCTCCATGGAGGAAGTGTGGAATAAACATTTGGGAAGAGCGCTGCAACCTCCATGATTTATATCCACCCTTTATATTGGCACGCTTAAAGAACGCCCTAAATATAGATCGCACACAGAACAGTGGAAATAGGATCAGGGGCAAGAGACGCCAACAACTGTGTGCATCGCTGTACCTCAGTGTAAAAAAACAACAACAGAGATCCTTGTCGGCCCTGCCATCTGTTGCTTGTTCGTTGAGAAGCCTCACAAACCTTGATGAGTAAATCATCACACAATCCAGCTTTGTGATTGCGTGAGGTTCCAGCTGATCTGTGAAGCAGCTGCTGCTGTGGGAGGGAGCGAAGAGAAGAGAACTTCACAGCCACAGCCCATAAGGGCACATGGAACAAGCGGGGTGACAATCCTCTGTCCAATCTGCTTTGATTTGGATTCCTGGCTCAAGCAGGGGGTTGGACTGGATGGCCTTAAGAGGCCCCCTTCCAACTTCATGATTCTGTGATTCTGCAACTGGTTTCATGCTGACTTGCTAGACCATTGTAATGAGATGGATTAAAAGGGAAACTGCCAGTCTTAAGCACACGAATCCTTCTAGATCACGATAAGAGTTGCAAACAAAATTCCCTTGCGTTCTAATTCCGAAATAAAAGGGGGAAAAAAGAGGCCACCCCGTGCTTGTTCTGCGAAACCCTCCCCTTCGGCCTTCATAAACGAGCCCTTGGTTTGAATGATCACTTTTTAAAATGTGAGTAGCGAATTTCTACGCAGGCGACTCGCTGAACGTGGTGGAGGTCTTCGACCCCATTGCCAACCGCTGGGAGAAGTGCCAGCCAATGATGACGGCCCGGAGCCGGGTGGGCGTCGCCGTGCTGAACGGACTCTTGTACGCCATCGGGGGATACGACGGTCAGTTGAGACTGAGCACGGTGGAAGTCTACAACCCGGACACAGATTCGTGGTCCAAAGTGGCAAGCATGAACAGCAAACGAAGGTTTGTGTGTGTGTGTGTGTGTGTGTGTGTGTGAGAGAGAGAGAGAGAGAGAATTTCAACAGTCGCATGCCTGCAGTGGAAGCAAAAGGAGAGAGGGGGGTTACGGTAGGTCCATGCAAGAGGCAACCCAGCGGCATTATAATCTGGCAAAGAGGGTGGTTTAGATTAAACCCTGATGCAAATAGAAGAGTCATTGTAGTATCCCCATTCCTGAAAACATTGCTTCCCAACCTTGGGGGGTCCCCCAGATGTTCTTGGACTGCAATCCCCAGAAATCCTGGTCAGCACAGCTAGTGGGGGTTTTAGCCCAAGGACGTCTGGGGACTGAAAGTTTGGGACCTACCTTCCTAAAACAATGTCATACTGCTTTCTTGGCTTCTGTTATGATTTAAATGGGAAGTTTCAGGTGGAAACAAGACATCCTTCTGTCTGCCTTCTTCAGCCTCTTGATTTTCCTCTTGGTTTGAAAGATATTCCCATATCCACCACTCATGGTTGAAATCTTAACTGTATTTCAAGTGTAATAGATGTGCTTTGCTCACCGTTCTGAGCCAACGTGCCAAAGAGCCAGTTTGGTCTTAGCAGTTCTGGTTGGAGCTGTGCCCTCCAGGTATTTTATTTTATTTTATTT